GAAACGATATCCTATCTCTGATTGTCATTTAACTGCAATTTTCATAGATACTTTAGTTGGTTTCAAGTGTAAATCTTCTTAGACTTCCAAATATTTTTTAAAAATACATTCATAGAAGAAAAAAAAATTTCAAATATTTTAGAACCAGTAGCGTGCCTACAACATAAACTTGTGCCTAACACTTGGAATGACTCAGAAGATTAGAAGGCCAGGTTCTTTTCCATTATTGCTGTAGCACACTTAATATCCTGTGCTGCCCTGGAAAAGTGAATGTACCTTCCTAAGTATTCCAGAGCAAAGAATAGGGTGGGCATCTGAATTACCATCCCATTATTTTCCACAGGTGTCATGCTTTTTATGTCAGTGACCCTCAGTTAACCCCCATCCGCTTTGCAGCCTTTCTCTAACTTCTGCTTTAGTTCCCAGGGAGGGAGTTATTCCCTGTTTCTGCAAACCATCTCCCCACGGTATGGTCCTGGGATCCACTTCTGGTTAGTAGATATAAATGATCACTAACTAGCAATAGTAAAACTGTGGAGACACCAATTAACTAGAATCTCCAAATGTATGGACAGGTTCTAATTAGCTATTTGGATTTGATTTTTCTTATTATTACTAACTAAGGATCAAGCAAGATTCAACATTTGCTGCTGAAAATTTTAAATGGCTCTACTTTCCTACCTTAGTAAGTATAGTACAGGGAACAAGATTATGGAAATTTGGCTGAATCTGTACAGGCTCCAGGACATTCCCAGGAAGTTGATTTTTAAAAAATAAATACATAAATACCTGTTAACAGCTTGTTTTCTTGTCATTTGCCTCTTCCTTCTAAAAGGAGAGTGTAGCAAAAAATAAATAAATAAAACTGGTTAATTGAGAGTTCTGGTTAGTTAGCTTCCAATTAATCAAGGCTTTATTATATTTCACAAAAAAATCTTCTTAAATTCTGCAGAAATTTTAGATAGGTTACACACAATGACACACCAGCACGGAAGAGCACAAAGAAGGTAGGAAAGCCTGAATTGCTATTAGATAGTGTTTTAAATATATGAATAATGTTATTACATTTCTAGTCTAATCCCCACTGAGTAAAGAATAATGTGAAATGTCATGTGGTTTAGGGGTTTTCTATATATGAAGGCAAGGAAATAAAGTTATAGATTTCTGTTAAAGAAAATGGCCTCGGGTCGTAACAATTCCAAAAAAAATTCAGCAATATTAAGTCTTTTTGTTTGCTCTCAAGAGCCTTCCTTCCCATCCCATTGGGTATTCCAATATTTTGGGCAGTGAAAGTCTCCTTCTAATTTTTTTCTCATTTTTTATTTGTCCAACAGGATGATGAAAGTAAGCCAATATCAATGCTGTGCTTATTTCCTAAACATGGAGCCATTAATCACACAGCTCACTATAAACTTATTTCTGGAGCAATGCTGAATTATCTTACATCTTCCCTACAAGGGTTACACATGCACACACACACACACACGCATACACGCATACACAGTAATACACACATCCACACAAAATAAACACATACAAAAGAGATTAATAAGAAACCCACATAATTAGCTTAGTTAACAAAATAACAATTCTTTCCAGCAATGTAGTAATTCCCGGTGTTCCCTAACGCTTTAATATAGAACAATGAGACCTAAAATCACATGAAAAAAAAAAAAAAAACTACAAGGACTATAATCTGGCTCTTTTGAGCCTTAGTGTGCTTCTTAGTAGTACAGAAACAGGAACCACCCTATAATTACCACTATAAATATATGTGGTTGGTTCATCAGCCCTTTGTAATCTCTTCTTCAAATGTCCTTTTTGTTTTTGTTTTGTTTGTTTGTTTGTTTGTTTTCTCTTGAAAAGAAACTGCTTCTCTGCTGAAAGTCTGTAGAAAGATGTCTAAATAAATAAATGCAAACATGTATCTGGTGTTGCTATGGAGAACATGTTAGAGTGAAGGTGAGGCTTTTTTCACCTAAACTTACATTGTCACTTCACTGTCAGAACTATTTGATTTTTCTTTAAAGTTCACTCACCCAACCTCTTTTGAGATGACACTTTTCTTAAATAGAATATAATCATATGAACCAAGTCAACAATAATGCATACTTCCTTAATCCAATGAGCTATGTATTTGAGGACTTTTTTTTCCCTTTTATCAAAGATCTTCCCCCTTTTTTATTTATAAAACTTTTTAAACTCAACAGAACTTTTTTGGCTATCACCGTATGTATCTATTTATACTAAGCTGCCCAAAATAAAAATCATTTATATCTCCTATGGCATGGGCTTTGTAGATTTAAATTTAGACTGTGAAGTTACTGACTAAAATATTCTTGTTTGAATTATTCAATAAATATATAAATTCCCATGAATTAACTGTCATTTTATTATGGATATAAAACTTTCTTAGAAAATTAGTTTACCTTGATATTTGAAAACTTTTTATTTATCTTGTTCAATGTAAGGAATATATTTTACAGTGCAGATTAACACTAGCTATAACTCTAGGGCTTTAAGGCCTATAAGTTAAATACGTATATTTTATATTTTAACTTCTGAGTAAAATGTGACTTCTATACTTCTGAATTCGTTCCTTTTGTGATGTCAACTAACTCATTTTCGTTTTCCTTATACTCTGCCAAATAATCAATGTTTTGGAAAATTTTATTCAACAAGAAGATGATGCTACTAATATCATCAGCTCAGTATAGAATAGCTTATAATGTGAAAGAAATCATCTGCGTTTCCCTGGTGTTGGCCCCAAATCTTTCATATCCCCTCTAATTTCTCTTCGTCTTCTAAAGTTTCCTTTTTGCTGTCCCTTTCCATTTATGAATTTGGCTATGAAATAAAAGTTATGAACAAAGGGCCTGAAGTTTACTAAAACTTTTCTGGCTGAAATATACATATGATCACATTCAAACAAAGCCCCTGACAAAAAGGGGTTACATGTAGTCAAGAACTATACTCAACATAGATACTATACTCAATATACCACTGCCACCAACAGAACCATTACCAACTGAGGTCCTACAACATAGGATAGTAAGTAGTAAGGATTCCCTACACAATGCACCAGCTCCAATCATTATCATGGTGGCACTTCATAAGGACATTGATTAACCTTACTGTAGAGAGAGACATTCCTCCTATGCATGAGTTATAACTAGAAGGTTATTCTGCTCTGGCTGAGACTCAAGAAGGCAATAATTGAAAGCAGGCTGTATTTTAAATTAGTCAAGATTACTTTTACCCTGTACCACTGATAAATAAATTTTCACACTTTGATTCTTGCACCTTGTGGTGTGTGAATGCAAAGCTCAACAAAGTTAATGGCATGGCAGTGACTGCTATACAGTGTGTCCATCTTTGATTGGAATCAATTTAGTAAAAGCAGGAGAGACATGGAATTCTGTTTTGAAATCTAAACTTAGACCACAGAATCTCGTTTAATAAAACAGAGAAACAGCATACAAAACACATGACAAGAGGCAATAAAATACCATAAAGTTAAGGAGTCCAGTTAAAAACTCAAACTTATTGCATTTAAGTATTTTAGTGCTTTTTTAGGACAGATTGGAAATTCACTATCAAATATCACATATTAAGTCCAACCTCTGATGTGAAGGAAGCTAACGAGAGTGCTCCTTTCACTAATTTTTCAAACAGGGGAAAGTACTTAAAACAGCATTTTAAAGATAGAATCAACCTTTGAGATTACCTACTATAATGGATTTCACATGTGCGTAGTAGAAGGCACGACAAAGGGAAGTGATTCCCCTACATCCATCCTTTCAGTTAGTGCAGCTCTTCTTTTTCCTATGCCATACACTGGGGGTGCCTGAACTGGTTTGGTTAACTACCCATCACCAACACCATTTAACACACAAGGACATGAGTCCCTGAGAGAGATGTTCAGTTATTTTGCCAAGTTCACACAGCAAATAGGTGGCAGAAGTCTACTGACTTCTAAATCATAGCTACTACAAATTTGTCACCCTGCTTTTTCTACTGTATATTAAGAAACCACTTTTTGAACTCTCCCTTTCATAGACTGTAATATTTGTTTTATTGTCATGGGGATATAATAACGTTGATAGACATTATGCACACATTTAGATAGTAGAAGAGACGAAATTTGTGGATCCCTTGATTACTAGACCAGTGCTCTTTCTGTACTACACTGCTTTTAAAGCAGAGGCTGTAAACTAGCAAACCAGGCCAGTCAAATATATTTTGTTTGTCTGCACAGAGCTTTGAATATCTGGAAATTTTACATAAAATGTGAATTTCAAAGTTCTCTAAAAAGAAGTATCTGGCAATGCAGTTCCACATACTTACTGACTCAGTATAACTAGAAAAAGTAGGGAAACAATGGCTATTCCATAGACAGAGCATGGACTCCGCTGTTCCCCACAGTTCCCACAATTTCTTATGACCTTACACCTGCTCTCTTAATGAATTTATGTTATCTCCCCAGTCCCAGTAGGAATTTCAGTTTCATGGCTGCTACATTAAAGTTTGTGGGTATCATTTACCCAAACATTAGTCAATTTTCCCAGAGAAAGCATGGGAATTCTGGAAACTTCCATGTGTGTGTAAGCTATTGATTGAGAGTGCCCTAAAAGTTCTAGATCATTTATCTACCTAAAAAATCATATGCATTTTCTTTAATGAGGAAAGACAAGCCTTTGACCCTTGAAGTTAACACTATTGCATATAGAAAAGCACCTAAAGCAAGCTGTGTTAAATAAAAATAGATTGAATAAGAAACAAACTCTGATTATACTCACAGAAACATATCATTCAATAAGAGCAATAGTCATATATTTAAAATTCTCTAAAAAATCAATAAAAATGTTTCCTATCCTCTGAAATGGGAGTCA